AAGCACCTTGGATAATCTCCAGAAATCAGTTTAAAGGGTAATAAAATAATTGCTGATGTAATATTTTCCTTATAACTATTACAAAAACACAAAATAAGTATGAATAAGTATTTATATTTGTGCACAAGCTGCTTAGATTGTCAGAAAGCCTGTGTTTTTAGGGATATTAATGAAGTTCGTGTACTCAGACCAGTAATATTTGGGGTCACAAGTTTTTGCCATGGATACTTTGTGGGTCAGAAGATAAAAAGTTTGGGAACCACTGGTTTAAAGAACCATTGTCGATACCCTGGTGTTGTCCCATGGCTGTTAGTGATTGTGTGTTTTTAGCCACCATGTGAGCGGATAAATCACTCAACAGACCTCTGAAAGATTTGCCCCCCTCACTACTGAGATGATTATAATCATTTAAAAAAAGAGAGATGATTATAATCAATGTAAATATCTGATCACAGCTTGATAGAACATTGATGTCCGTCCACATCACACAGCTGCAGAAAGGTCTTCCACAGATGGACGGAGGAAACAGTGGTCCCTCTGCTCAAGTCTTTGTTGGGACAAACTGAAAAATTAGAAAGTATCACATCGATGTGGTAAGGCTGAGAAAGCGTCACCAATCAATGAAGAAGGATAAAAGATAAAGTCACAAGCCATGAGAAGTTTATTCATGACAAAAACATCAAAACTTACATTTAACAAAAAGGCAAACAAAAAAATTTAAATATTAAAAACCTTTGGACAATGCAGACTATTAGTAAAGTTCTGGGCTTTTGCTCTAATTCAGCAATAGTTAAAACTTAAATCACTACATTCATCTAAATTGGGTTTTTATTTTTCAGAAAAGGCCAAAGAAGAAGTTGAAAATTATAGAAGTGAAATTTTGAAACCAGAACAAAAATCAGACGGATTATAAGCTGACAAAACTGGACGTCAGTCTATTTTAGCCTCGCAGTGAGGTCAACTATTGCTGCCTTTTAGGATGAAGTGCTCGAAGCAGAATCAAAATCATTAAAAAATAACACTGTCCATATCATCTAATGAAAAAAACATACATTACAAAATGAAGTTACTACCAGTCAACCCAAGGGTTAATTCAACATACAAAACCCATTACAGAGTGTATATATTTATATTTGTGTGTTTCCCACACGTCAGTGCCTCTCTAACAACCACTTTTATTGTTATCTGGTAATTGCAGATGTGCAGTAGGGGTGCAGCTGTACATGTATTTGTACTGACCATCACAGTGCAGACATCAGGCCTGTGCACAAACATGTCAGGAGTTTTCAGACTAAAACGCTCCACGCTGAGACAAAAGACAGTTTTTAATCAGCTGAGTGGAGAAGTTTTCCTGTGATCTGCAGCAGCAGCCACAGAGAGGTGCATGTACGGAAAGCTAAACAAGTCTTTAAATCGTGTATGGCAAGAGAAAAGGGTCTTCATTCATGTGCTTTGAAATGCCTTCTAGAATCTAATAAAAGCTTTTAAATACGCCACAAAGTATAATATTCACCACCTGTGCATAAACAACCCATTAGTTTCTCAGTTTTTTTGTACTTTGACATTTGGAGATGGAATGTTATGTTTTGTCTTTTATTGTGTGAAGTTCAGGCCAAACAAAACCAATACTTCCCTTTTGGTAATGTTTACACGTAAGCTGTAACACATCGTTTACAGTTCAAACTAGACAAATAAGACAATTCTACGGGACTCCTTTAATTACCAGTGAAGAAATCCTGTCTTTCTGTACATTTAGGGAATGTTATTGTCTATTTAAAATAAGACAAAGGAAAGGGAAATGAAACTAACATTTGATTTTTGTTTCTTTCCTCCAGACCGTGACTTCAGAACAAAAGTACAAAATACAACAGGAGCCAGATGTTACACCGTTTAAAAAGACACGGTCACTGTCTGACATTAAATCAGATGAAACCTTTTCTGTTTTGGGTCAGTTAGCATTCTCAACATTATTTGTATTTGTTAAAGATCTGAATAATGAAAAAAGTTTTTTTTTTTTAGAAAATATTTTATAACTTTCATCAAAGTCACAAGTTTACATAAACTTCCGTAGTATTTGGTAGTATTGCCTTCTAACTGTATGGGTTTCCTTCTACAAGCTTCTCACAACAGAATTTTGTCTCATCCCTCCTGACAGAAATGAAGGATCTGAGTCAGGTTTGTAGACCACCTTGCTCCTTGCCTTTCAGATCTGTTCACAAATTCTGGACGGGATTGAACTCAGGGTTTTGTGATGCTCACTAAAACAGTGACTTTTTGTCTTTAAACACCTTTATAAATATTTTAGCAGTAAGTTCAGGGTCACTGCCCATTTGTGCCCAAGCTTTAACTTCCTGACTGATGTCTTGCTTCAATACACGTTCTTTCCTCATGATCTGTTTAGTGACGTACAGCAGAACACACCCACAACATGATGCTGCCACCCCCGTGTTTCACAGTTGGGACGGTGTTCTCAGGCTTGCACATTTCCAGTTTATCTCTAAAAGTAACAATGATCTATAGCAGGGGTGGGAATCCTGGTCCTCGAGGGCCGCAGCCCTACATGTTTTACATTTTTCCTGCTCCAACACACCTGATTCAGTCACTGATTTACCTTCCAAGTTCTGCAGTATGGAGGACCGACACTGACATAATTATAAATAAAAGCAGGAATATATAAATGAACCACTAAATAAATAAATACACTTAAAATGCACCAATTCAATTAAAAAAGAACTTCACCTCATGTTTTGTAATTTAATTCTCGTTTAATTGATTTTTTTAACACACTTCAAATTTGACTGTTTTTTAAAATATATATTTTTCAGTTTTACTTTTTACTTGTACATACATTTGTCTCTTAAATGTTTAAATTGAAATATTTTTATAGTTTTGTCCCACAAGTCTTTTTTTTATTTCGATGTGTTGCAGGCATGTGCTGCCTCAGTTTAGCTTAAAGTTTAAAGTTTAGTTAAAAACAAAGGCACGGGTAAGTTTTTCTCCTTGCCTTGTTTTAAACTATAATTTAAAGACTTGTGGGAAAAATATAAAAATAATTAAGTATAAATATTTAAGAGACACAAATGCATGTAGAATTTAAAGGAAAAACAACAAAATATGTATGTTAAAAAACAGTAAAATTTAAATAATGTGTTAAAATATATAGACTAATTTATACTAACCTGGAAAAATAAATATTTGTCATTTCAAACAAAAAAACATGAGATAAAGTTCTCCTTTGTTATTTTAATTGGTACATTTTAAATGTATTTATTTTGTGGTTCATTTATATAATTCTGCTTTTATTTCTAATTATGTCAGTTTGGGTCCTCCATACTGCAAGAAGCCTGATAATCATCTATTCATTCCTATCAGGTGTGTTGGAGCAGAGAAGCAAGTAAAACATGCAGGGCTGCGGCCCTCCAGGACCAGGATTGCTCACCCCTGATCTATAGGCAAACCGTTCAATTTTAGTGTCATCAGACCACAGGACATGGCTGTAAAAAATATATATCTTTGTCCCTGTGTGCAACTGTTTTTACGTTGCTTTTGTGATTTCAAAGTAATGGCTTCTTTCCCACTGAGCTGCCTGTCAGCCCATGTTGGTACAGGACTTGTTTCACTGACAATGAGTCACTTTTACCAGCTTCAGCAGCATCTTCAGCTGTTTTGCTTTTGTTTAGGCACCAAATCGTGTTCATGTCAGAAACACAGAGCCATCTCTTTCATGAGTGATGACAGAGAGACGTTCCCATGCTATTTAGATTTGTGTATAAATGTTTCGAACAGATGAACGTGACACCTTGAGGAATCTGGAAACTGTACCAAAGGATGAACCAGAGTTGTGGAGGTCAACAATGCCTGGTTTCTACTGATTTTCCCATGACGTCACCCAAAGAAGCAATGAGTTTTAGATGCATCTTTAATTAACTAAATATTCTATCATTAACTTCTTAATTGACATTTTCCTCTTTTCCAGTATTGTTTAGAAGGCATAGTGATCTTAGTATAACTTGGAAGAAAGTAATATTAACAAAAATCTCTTTCATTATTTGGGCATTTAGCAAAAATAACTAGGAATGAAAACTAACCTAAAACAGGAAAACTTTAGTTTGATTTATTGTCAGACTGTGAAAAATGGTTGTCTTTTTATACAGCGTCTATAAACACCCGATTATCACTGTACTGTTACACCCCTCCATGTTTGTGCAGATGCTATTAAGGGCTGGCCAGCTTGCTGGATGTTACATCTTGGTTGCTGCAGGGAGGACAACTGAAGTCTGTTATTGTAAGTATCAGAGTACTCACAGTGGGTACCAGCAGTCAGGACTTGATGGGAGGTTATTGGTGAACACACAGGCCTGAAATACTGGTGAGGTTTTAGAAATCAGCAGCATGTTTTATTTTCAGGGAGGTAGCCCCTCCTGCTGTGGAGGTCCAAATAGGAGCCGTCAAGTGATCTGAAGCTGTGCTGTGATGAACCCCACGGACTGCAAAGTCAACATGCGATCAGTGTCTCTGGAGCACCGTTCCTGACCCAAGCTTGTTCTCGGGTTATGGAATCCATTGGAAACCAAGAAGATGCACACAAACTGCTTTTGTTTGGTAATCCATCGAAGTGGATGAAGTGCTACACCAGGAGAAACAAGTGAGGTTGTCTTCCAAAGCTTGGCTGGAACAGTGTCTGAGGTTTGATGGGTCAGGTTCGTCAGTACGGCGGATAATACCTTCTCACCCATGGAAGAACAGCAGAGTAAAGGTGATGAGTGTTGTCAGTTTTCAGCCAGCGACAGTGCCAGAGCTGCCTGAAGTGCTGCCTCTTCATCAATGCTGTAGTCCTGATTCAAAATTAAAAACATAAACTGGTTTTAATCATAGAAAAATCTCACAGGAAATCTATTTTTGTACTTCTCATTTTGTGTGACATGAACGACCAAACAAGTGTTGGCTATACACTGCAAAAACTGTCCATCTTACCAAGTTTTAAAATCTTATATCCAGCCAAAAAGTCTTTTTGTCTTGTTTTGAGACTGATTTACTAAATAAGAACTTATTGTGTAAGAATAATAATCTGGTTTTCAGAATGTGTAAGATTATTTGTCTTGTTAGRCTGAAAATTTGACTCAAATTAAGTCCAAATTTTCTACCAATGGAGTAAAAACGTTTTACTTTGTAAGATTCTTGAAATACTTGATTTGACTCAATTTTAACTTATTTCAAGAATCTTACCAAGTAAAATTTCCCTACGAACCTCATTAAGCTACAGTGGGGAGAACAAGTATTTGATACACTGTTGATTTTTCAGGTTTTCCCACTTGCAAAGCTTGTAGAAGACTGTAATTTTTATCATAGGTACTCTTCAACTGTGAGTGATGGAATCTAACACAAAAGTCCAGAAAAATACAATGTATGATTTTTAAATAATTAATGTCCATTTTATTGTGTGAAATAAGTATTTGATCATCTATCAACCAGTAAGAATTTTGGCTCTCACAGACATGTTCTTCTTTAAGAAGCCCTCCTGTTCTCCACTCATTACCTGTATTAACTGCACCTGTTTGAACTCGTTACCTGTATAAAAGACACCTGTCCACACACTCAATCAATCAGACTCCAGCATCTCCACAATGCCCAAGACCAGAGAGCTGTGTAAGGACATCAGGGATAAAATTGTAGACCTGCACAAGGCTGGGATGGGCTACAGGACAATAGGCAACAACAGTTGGTGCAATTATTAGAAAATGGAAGAAATACAAAATAACGGAAAATCTCCCTCGGTCTGGGGCGCCATGCAAGATCTCACCTCGTGGAGCATCATTGATCTTGAGGAAGGTGAGGAATGAGCCCAGAACTACACGGCAGGACCTGGTCAATGACCTGAATAGAGCTGGGACCACAGTCTCAAAGAAAACAATCAGTAACACTCTACGCCGTCAAGGATTAAAATCCTGCAGTGCACGCAAGGTGCCCTTCCTCAAGCCAACGCATGTCAAAGCCCGTCTGATGTTCGCAAATGACCATCTGAATGATCCAGAGGAGGAATGGGAGAAGGTCATGTGGTCTGATGAGACAAAAATAGAACTTTTTGGTTTAAACTCCACTCGTCATGTTTGGAGGAAGAAGAATGATGAGTACAACCCCAAGAACACCATCCCAACCGTGAAGCATGGCGGTGGAAACATCATTCTTTGGGGATGCTTTTCTGCAAAGGGGACAGGACGACTGCACCATATTGTGGGAAGGATGGATGGGGCCATGTATCGTGAGATTTTGGCCAACAACCTCCTTCCCTCAGTAAGAGCACTGAAGATGGGTCGTGACTGGGTCTTCCAGCATGATAACGACCCAAAACACACAGCCAGGGCAACTAAAGAGTGGCTCCGTAGGAAACATCTTAAGGTCCTGGAGTGGCCTAGCCAGTCTCCAGACCTGAATCCAATAGAAAATCTTTGGAGGGAGCTTAAAGTCCGTGTGGCCCAGCGACAGCCCCGAAACCTGAAGGCTCTGGAGGAGATCTGTATGGAGGAGTGGGCCAAAATCCCTGCTGCAGTGTGTGCAAACCTGGTCAAGAACTACAGGAAACGTCTGATCTCTGTAATTGCAAACAAAGGTTTCTGTACCAGATATTAAGTTTAATTTTTCTGGTGTATCAAATACTTATTTCACACAATAAAATGGAAATTAATTATTTAAAAATCATACTTTGTATTTTTCTGGATTTTTGTTTTAGATTCCATCACTCACAGTTGAAGAGTACCTATGATAAAAATTACAGTCTTCTACAAGCTTTGCAAGTGGGAAAACCTGAAAAATCAACAGTGTATCAAAGACTTGTTCTCCCCACTGTAGTTCTGCTGAATAGGCGTGTTCATGTTTCACCACCAGAGGCTTTCCAATTTACACTGCGTCCGCTCCACTCTGCCGTGCTCCGTCACGACCACGCCAGTAGAAAAACACCAATTATAATCAATGAGAGCATTTACACTGCATCCGTGTGCACGGCAATCAGCCAAATTTAGATTGAATCCTATTCTTGCCGGACGACGGAGCAAAGATCACACTGCACAAATAGGAAAAGGAATGAGCATAACATCTGTATTTTCAAAATAATTCACCAAAGACGTCTACATTTTGTCAAAATCTTAGCTTAGACTTAAACATTAATTTACAGAACTTTCACTGTACTGACGAACATCTTTCTGTATCCTCTTCCTCCCTCGCACGATTGTTCTCTGGCTTCTTAAAATAATTACATTCACCCTCACGCTTCCTACGAAGTTTACATAGTGTAAAATAAAAAAATCAACTCTCTGCAATATCAAGGTTCAGCACAGTTCCCTGAGGGCATTCTGAGGCATCGCCAGCTGTATGAAAGTGCTGGAAAACCGAAGACGCTCCTCTAGCCAACTGCCCGTTCTTGGGGCTTTCATGCTACAGAAGTTAGGACACCGTGTGCCTGACAAATAACTGATGAGAGTTCACTCTATGCTAAGAAGAAAAGAGGGAAACACAAAAAAAACAAGCGGCGGGCAAATAAAATTATCGATCTCATTTTAATTTATTGAGCGATCAATTGATTTAATGCTTATCGCGACAGACCTACCTGAAGCAAATAGAGATATGAGCTAAAGCTTGGTTTACAGGGTTTATACTCCAAATGACGAGTTTCAACTTACAACAAAGGTGTCGTATGAGAACTTATGTCTGTGAAGAAGATGCTGAAGAAAGTTGGAGCTCTTATAGGTGGGGTCTCCCCACGGCATGGCCGAACACACGGGGCAAACCTGGATGGAGAAACACGCAATTTGGTTAAAGCTGTAGTAAGAAGTTTACTCATCAGGGACATGAATTTGTTTTTTTATTGATTCATATGAATTTTTTTCAAGGCTGTATTGATACATAAACATCAATGATTTTTTAAAAACAAGAATTGAGGACACAAGTCAAAATTATGAAGGCTCACATAAACACACAGCCCAACTAATGTTTACTAAACATCTCTTAGGAAATTAAACCTCAACCACAAGCTTTCTGTATAATTATGTCTGATATTTAAGTTTTCTTAGCAGAAATAGTAGAGTTCAGTTAATAAATGAACCCTGATCAGCACTTTCCTCTCTCTGTAAACTCATTCAGTAACTGAGTAAATAAAAGATTTGCATGAGGATCACTCAGTAGAAATGAGTGTTAATTAGTGGCTCCTCTGTATAACTGAGAGGGAAACCAAGAAATGTTTTTTTATAACAAAGATAAAAGTGTTTTATTTTATGCAAAATGATCCGGCAGAGAATTCTCCTCTGTTTGACCTTCAACAAATGACCTGAAATCCTAAATTTCAGTAACCTGACAAACAGCAGAGAGGTATCTCACCACTTTATTAGGATCGTTACGGTGGTTGTCCATGCAGTGCTTCACCAGTTCCTGTTGGTCCAAGTTTCTGGCCCCGCAGAAGGGACACACAAATGTTGACCTGTTTGGAATATTGCTGCAAGTGGGAGAACACATTTATAAACACAAAAACAGGCTTTTCTTAACTGCTGGAGTTCAACAAACACCTACATAAATACACTGAAGGAAGCTCAGCACTTTGTTGAGAAATGACAAAGGTGAAGGCTTGAAAAGAATTTGCGTGAGCTCATGTAACATCATGAGATATCTCGCTCACAGTAAGTTTTGTGAATGACTCTCAGCTACCACCACACCAAAGCTTAGCTCAATATTTACCAAACGGACTCTGTTCCAGCCATTTTTGTGTTGGTTAATATTTCCTTGTGGCGACCATCTTGAAAAGCCCAATCAGTTGTAAACTTACATCTAATGATGTTTTTCTGAGTTTCATTAAACATGAGATATTTTGCTAACAGACAAACAAGGCTGACTCCATCTGTTAGTGATAGTTTGAAGTGTAGATCTCGCACAATGAGTAGCACTTGTGACAAACTCTCAGCTACTACCAACTCTTAGCTGAATACCAGTGAAGTTGTCTTAATAATATCGTTTTTATATTTTCTACGGCCATGTTAATGTGGTGGCCATCTTGAAAACAGTTTGTTTTCAGGATTCTGGGACATTTTCAGGTTGTTAGTTGGAGGTGGATCCGGTGTGCGTACCTTGGTATCGGCTGGGAGGTGGGTACTACGGGGACAAACTTGGGACAGTTGGCGATCTGTTCATGAACTTTAGAACAGGAGGAGATGTGGGACCTCATCTTTACCAGAGACACCTGTGGACATGAACACACACATCAGACTTATAACAGGTATAATCAACAATAAATAAGGACGTTCTATAGAACTGGAGTGCGCAAAAACCACGTGAGCGTGTGATCGGCTGGTGAAGCTAACGGCTAACTCTAAACGGTCAAGAGTCTGGATTTCTCATTACTGTACATGTTGGCAACAGAGCAGAAAAAAAGGACTGACGATGTAGAAATCATTAAAACTATTGATAATAATATTAACCCAAGTATTATTAATATTTTACAGTTTATATAATCTATCTAATGTTTTAAATAATGTCTGAAAAGCTGTTTGTGTTACGGATTTATTAACAGAAGATAAACAGGAAAACGTCTCATTTCATAACACAAGTCAGCAGATTTGATCTTATTTAGCTCAATGTGATCTGAGCAGAACATAATGTAACAGTTTAAAATTAAAATAATCTTATAAAGTCGATGTAATCACTGTTATTTATTGAACTGGTTAGCAGATATTAGCTTGTGCAGCATACTGTATATACAGAGTGTAGCACTGTTGAATCATGCTACAATTTAACACAAACTATTAAATATTACAGATTATTTCTCCTCTGATTAATATTTAGACCTACAGAGTGTAAAATGATATTATAAATGTCTGATTAATACTGTATTTAGAC